GCAGCAGCAGCAGCATATAGCAGCAGCAGCAGCTGCTGCTGCTGCAGCAGGACATGCTTTCGGGGCAGGGGGCGGCCGCTGGGGCCCGCAGTCTCTTGACTGGAGAGATTTGACAAGATACAAGGAGACTCAGTGCTACGTTAGGTATGGACGAGGTTTAGGGTTTAGGGTTTAGGGTTTAGGGTCTAGGGTTTAGGGTTTAGCCGCTTGCATGTAGGAGCATCGGCGAGCACAGGGTCATTTCAGGGTTTCATGCCTAGGTTTTAGGGCTTACGTATGGAGTGCAAGGCTTTTACTGAGGGTTTAGGGTTTAGGGCTTAGGGTTTAGGGTTCAGGGTTTAGGGTTTGGAAGTTGCGTGTGCATGTGCAGCTTAGACCCTGCTTTGGATCTGCACTTTTACCGAAACCACCGACAGCTGAAGCCTCTCTTTACCTGTAGCGAGTAAACCCTAAACCCTAAACCCTAAACCCTATCTTTACTGTCTAGGACTCACGCCGTTACACAGCGGCCTGAGAAGGTTCGAGGATAAGGGTTTTGCGCGAAGCGTTCAGGGTTTCGGGTTCAGATTGTTTAGGGTTTGGAGCTTAGGGTTTAGGGTTTAGGGTTTAGGGTTTAGGGTTTAGGGTTTGTGGTCTGCAGCGGGTCCGTGGTGCAGCCTTGGTCGGAGACATTTTTGATTCCAGAAATATTTTTTTCTTCTCAGCTTTTGCCCGACTCAAATTTGGCTGCAATTGCCCCCAGCATGGACGTAAACCCTAAACCCTAAACCCTAAACCCTCGTTTCCAATCCCTGCGCAATTGAAGCCTGCTTCTTGGGGGCCTTGTTGAGAAGCTGGCAGCGAGGGGCATCCTTTACCGCCATTTAGGGCTTAATATCCCGGGTCTAGGGTCTAGGGTTTAGGGTTTAGGGTTTAGGGTTTAGGGTTTGCGCGCAGCACACCAGCATCAGCGAGTTGGTGCTGCAGTGCTTCCGCAGATCTTCTGTCTGCGAAAGAGAAGGATGGTTAAAAAGAATTTGTTTAGTTGGAGGAACTTCGCAGCTGCCTCACTTCGCCCGCAGGCAAACCCTAAACCCTAAACCCTAAACCCTAGGGGCTAAACCCTAGGCGCTGCGCACGGCGCGCTGGGCGCACTGTGGAGGGCTGGCCCTAAACCCCAAACCCTAAACCCTAGCGTTATTCGCTAAGCCCTGGGCGCGAGGGTGGAGGGCGGGCTCCAAACTCTAAACCCTAAACCCCAAACCCTAGGGTTTGCACTGCTGCTGCTGCAGGCTGGAAATGGATTTGCTGCGCTCCTGGAGAGAATCTGCTGGCGCTTATTATAATGTCAAAGACCAAATAGAGTGCGCCAAACCCTAAACCCTAAACCCTAAACCCTCAGCAGCGGTGGCGCCGAGTTGAGGACTCCTGTGTCCAGGCACTCCAAGCTAGGCTCTAAAGAAGCAGTGGTTCTTGTTTTGCTGCTGCTGTTGCTGCTGCTGCTGCTGTTGCTGCTGCTCCTGCTGCTGCAGGGTTAAGGTGCTGCCTTGTGAAGACCGCCAGCTTGCTGCCTTTCGCGGCGCCTTATTATTTGGTCAGCCAAGGGTTCGGAGTTTAGGGTTTAGGGTTTAGGATTTAGGGTTTAGGGTCTTGTTTTGGAAGAGGGAGCAGAAAACAACTGCTAGATGGTGGCTGGTGCTGGGGTGAGAAGCGGAGGGGAGCGGAGGGCCTAGAATTTAGGATTTAGGGTTTGAAAATTAGGGTTTAGGGTTTAGGGTTTAGGGTTTGTGGTTTAGGACTGGTGGCCCGCCAAGAGCCGGAGGCCTGGCTGAGCCGCAGCCAGTTTGAGAGGACAGAGGGACTCGAAAAGACTGCCCGGCAGATGGCCCTTTACAGCTAGCTAGCTAGCTAGCTAGCTATCTAGCTAGCTAGCCAGCTAGCTAGCTATCTGGCTGGCTAGCTAGCGAGCTGGCTGGCTAGCTGGCTAGCTAGCTAGCTGGCTAGCTAGCTAGCCGGATAGCCAACTAGCTAGCGAGCTGGCTAGCTGGCTAGCTGGCTAGCTGGCTGGATGTTTAGCTGGGGTGGCCAGATAGCTAGCTAGCCAACACTTTAGCTGGGCTGCTAGCTAGCTAGCTAGCTAGCTAGCTAGCTGGCCAGCTGACTAGGTGGCTAGCAGTCCAGTTAGGTAGCTAGCTATTTAGCTGGCTGGCTAGCTAGCTGGCTAGCACGTTTGCTATTTAGCTGGCTAGCTGGCTGGCTGGCTAAGAGGCTAGCTACTGGACAATTTGGCTTTTTTGCAATTTAGCTGTCGAGCTGGCTAGCTAGCCAGCTGGCTAGTTGACTGGTTAGCTAGCTAGCTAGCCACTGACTAGGCAGCTAGCCAGCTAGCTGGCGCGCTGACTACCTACCTACCTAGCTAGCTCGCTAGCTAGCCGGCTCGCTAGCTAGCTGGGTAGCTAGCTGGCTCGCTCGTTAGCTAGCTAGCTAACTGTTTAGCTAGCTGGCTAGCTAGCTTCTCATTGGCAGCTGGCTGCCCACAGCCAGCTAGCTAGCTAGCTAGCTAACTACTGAGCAGCAGGTCATGTTTGCAGCCCTCTGTGCTGCAAAACGGGCCGAATCAATTTTTGCTGCTGCTGCAGCTGCTGCAGCAGGCAGTTCTGCTGCTACAGCAGCAGGAGCAGCTGCAGCAGCTGCTCCTGCTGCAGTTCTGCTGCTACAGCAGCAGGAGCAGCTGCAGCAGCTGCTCCTGCGTTCATTTGCAAAAACTCGGGAATGCCACGCAAGTATTTGCTGCTGCTGAGAAGCTCTGCAGCAGCGGCAGCAGCAGAAGCAGCAGCAGCAACAAGCAGCCACCTGCTTAAGCTGTTGATTTAGGGTTTAGGGTTTAGGGTTTAGGATTTAGAGTTTAGGGTTTAGCGTTTTGGGATGGCTGTTCTGAGCTGGACCCGCCGCAGCAGCAGCAAAGCGTTGTGTCCGTCTGCCGCTAGCAGCAGCAGCTGCCTTTGCTTGAGTGCTGCTGCTGTTGGTGCTGCTTGTTTGCTGCTTCTAGCCCTCCCTTTGCTGCTGCGCTGCAGCAGCAGCAGCAGCTGCCGCGCGTGCTGCAGCCGGAGTCTGCTGCAGCAGTTCATGGGGAATAAATTGCTCCAGATCATTTTGCTGCTGCTGCAGGGGAGGTGTACGTACACCTCAGCAATCTGCCTGAAGAAACGTTCTTCAAAGGGCAGGTTGCTGCTGCGCCTCTGCTGCTGCTGCTGCTGCTGCTGCTGCTGGGTCTGTTCGAGACGCTGCTGCAGCAGCAGCTCGTCGTGGCCCTCCACGCGTTGGTAGAAGGCGGCAGCAGCAGCAGCAGCAGCAGCAGCTGCTGCAGCAGCGGGCGGGTCCAGCACCCGGGCCCATATTGCCTCTTTGCACTGCAGCACAGGAGCAGCAGCATGGCAGCGAGAAAGTCCAGCAGCAACTCTGCTGTTGTTGCAGTCTGCTGCTGCTTCTGCTGCGAGCAGCTGCGCCTTGGCAAGGCCCCACAGCCTGTGTTGCTGCGCTGTTGCTGCTGCTGTTGCTGCTGCTGCTGTTCTTGCTGCTGCGGGGCTTGCTGCAGTTGGCGTGACTCCTTCGCAGTTGGAGGCTGCGGGGCTTGCTGCAGCGGCAGCAGCAGCAGCAGCTGCTGCTGCTGCCCGAGCATTTGCTGCTGCAGTAAGGACGCGTTCAGGAGCAGCGCAGAGCCTCTCTAAAATAAGCCATCGTTCCTGCTGCAGCAGCAGCGGGAACTGCAGCAGCAGCAGCAGCACGCAGCGGCAGCAGCAGCAGCAAC